TGCCAGGCTTTAGCACAGGCTGTACTAAGAGAACACAGCTTCCGCTTTGAGAGCACAGCCTGCACTTCCACAAAATAGCCAACCTACAATCTGCAAAGATGAGGGGATCCTGCCCGGATGAGGGGATCTATCAGGAAGCAACACACCAACTTATGGGGCACTGGGGGCAGGGGAAGAGGTAAATGGCTTGCACGTCCAAGCAATAAACGAATATGGAGCACCTCGACTAGTGCCTGCTCTCACCGTATCCCAAAGTCTCTGTGTTGATTCTGCACCACTCACCCCCACTGCAGCCAGAACCCTTGTTCCCTGCAGTCTCTCGTGGACTGGACTTGTGAGGAAACCTGCAACACTCATTAAACTAAAAGGCTTTTGTATATCAAAGGAGGCAACCAAGAAAGCAAATAAAAAAGCCACTGAATGGGAGAAAATCTTCATCAGCAACACATCTGACAGAGGATTAATAACCGAATATGTAAAGAACTCAAAAAACAGAGAGCCAAGACAAGCAACCCAATTAAAAGATGGGCTAATAAGCTGAACAGACAGAAATCTGCTCACATACCACCCTCCCCAGAATCCTAGCTCAGGGGAATGCTGCCACAGATGCCCTGATCATGACAGTCCAGTCTAACCTGTTAGAACAAGCAAGAGTTTTACATCAACAATTCCACCTGTCCCCTCAGAGTATTCATAAACTCCTCCCAGAAATCCCCATGTCCCAGTGCAAGCACCTTGTCCACTCATGTGCTACTTGTGCCCCGCTTATGCCTCTCAGGCCCCTTACAACGGGAGGAGCAAATCCCCATGGTTTGATACCCAATGCCATTTGGCAGATGGACATGACTCACTACCCCCATTTTGGGAAATTGAGATTCGTTCATGTTATAGTTGACACACGCTCTTCCCTTACTTATGCTTTAGCTCTCTCAGGGGAAAAGACTATACATGCCATTAAAGCTATAAAGTATGCCATGCTAATCATGGGTGTACGCTGGGCACTTAAGACTGATAATGGTCCCACTTATTCCTCTCAAGAATTCAATAAACTTGTTTCCTTCTGGGGAGTCAAACATACCTTTGGTATTACCTATAACCCACAAGGACAAGCCATTGTCGAAAGGACCAACAGGACACCTAAGCCCCTCCTGGCTAAAACCCCTTGGCTGAGACCAAAGGAAACCCTCACCTGAGTCTTACTGAGGCTTTGTTCCACCTTAATTTCCTCATGTTTGACGACTGGGGTCTCAGTCCAGCATACAAACATTGGTCCTTCTTGGCTCAGGCTACGCCCCTGCCAGTTGTTAGGTGGAGGGATCCGATTTTATCCATGGCAGAAACCAGCCCATCCTGACATGAGGACGAGGATATGCCTGTATTTTTCCACAGGATGCTACAACCCCCATCTGGATTCTATCGAGACATCTGGACAGCTAATGGAAACCCATCTGGAGACCAGATCTGACTGTGAGTTTGATAAGCCATGACATCCTTTTCCGGCTTCGTCATCTTTGGCACCCTTTTGTCCTTTGGCTGTGCTTCTACCCAGGCTCTGGATCTCTGGGCACTGGTCCCCTTACCACCTCTAATCTTCCCTGCAGTTGAACAGTCACCTGCTTTCCCGGTTCTCTTCACTACCAATGAATCCCTTGGTTTCCCCACCATCGAATTGATTCATGCGTCCATTCCCATAAATGGCCCATGGTCCCTTGCAGGATTGCTCTGCTTCAGCCCAGTCCTTAACCCCTCCTCCCCTAATGTCTCTTGCTGTCACTCCCTCTTTAACATCACAACAGGCGACTTTTGTGGAAACCAAAGCTAGGGCTCCTTATGGGGCCTCAAAATTTGGCCTTAGTAAAAGACACTTCAGAGACTAGTGTCCTTCAGGCCTCCTGGGGCCACCACACCTCACCCCCAAGGGTCAGGCATCCTCCATTGTCCCGGTGCCTTCCCACCTATACACTTCCTACCACATTGCACTTTCCTATTCCATGGGAACACTGCCTCCCACTCACTCCTGGATACGCTCCGCTTTATGGATGCCCGCAGTCTTCCTCCCTGGCAGCCTGGAGACACCTTGTCTCTACAAAACTCCCCTGAGGTCTGGCAGGTCTGGCTTGCTGACATCCAAGAAGCGGCTATGTAATTTCTTGCCCTCCTCCTCCCTCATATGGTCATGCCAGAGGTCACACCCTTCAAGGGCTGGTAGTCAATGATGGGAAAGATCCTGATGTCAGGATGACCCAAGACGAGCACAGTCCATCAATTTGGGTGTCCTCTCAGGTAGGATCAACTATGTTGAGGTAAAGAACCTCGGCTCCCTATAATAAAAAGGGATGGATATGCAGGAGAGGAAGTGTCAGGCTTAAACACAGGCTGCACTAAGAGAACACAGCTTCCGCTTTGAGAGAACCCACACTTCCACAAAATAGGCAACCTACAACCTTCCCTGATGAGGGGATCCTGTCTGGATGAGGGGATCTATCAGGAAGCAACACACCAACTTATGGGACACTGGGGACAGGGGGAGAGGTATATAAGGCTTGCACTTCCCAACAATAAACTAGTCTGAAGCACTTCAAGCAATAAACGAGTCTGCAGCACCTCACCTAGTGCCTGCTCTCACCCGACTCCCAGAGTGTGTGTGTTGATTCTGTGCCACTCACCCCCACCTCAACCAGAACCCTGTGGTGATTGGAAGAAGTACGTCACTGATGTACAACAATTAAGCACATATTTTGTCTCTGCCCTCAGAAAGTCCTTTTCTATCTCTATCTCAATCTCTCTGCTTCCCACTGTCCCTTTCCTTCTGGATGAGAACTGTTCCCTCTGCCCATGGTTACCAGACTCCTACATTTTATTTCCATAAGCCATATAAAGAGAAACAAATATGTAAGGATCAAAGACTTCAAAAAGTGTGGGGCAAAAAAGCCTCCTCACTTTATTTTTGGGGCATTTTGTCACAGCAGAGGCATTTCACTCACACATTAACCTCTGTGAATTTATCTGTGGTCATCTGTTTCCTTACATGTCAGAAGGTACCCAAACATGCAAGCACTCCTGTATGTTCTCTTAGTCCTAAACTTTACCAGAGTCTCACTTGTTTACACCTTTCTTTTAATGTATAAGCAAAGACAAATATTATGTGTTAGTTGTCCCACAAAGTGTGTGGGGTAAAAGAAAATAGTGACTAGTTTTAAACACATCAATACTCACAAATTAGGATT